GGTTGGTTACATCTACACCATGATGTGATACATCTAGGCCTGTGGACTGAACAAGTACTGGCTTCTTAGACCTTCTATTGGTAGATAGCCATTTTTGGACTAATTGGATCACATTGTATAAGCCATTTTTTATATCCCCTTACTTGATATAATGATTTATTGTATAAATTTTGTTTGTCTAGAGAACTCCAACACTTGAAACTTAATAGTCCATTCACTTACTATGTTTAATGATGGATGGCTATTTAAGGGGACTATGTAATAGTCACAGATAATTTAGTTTTGGTAAGGAGCATTTTACCTTTATAATCATGAGGTTTTCATCAAAGAGCCCAGTAGACTCTTCACTTCTTGGTGGCTTTTCATTGAGAGCATCAGTTACAATTTTCATCTTATGGATAGAATGTTGGCAGCAAACAGGGAGAGCATCACAGGCTTTAATCAGAAAAAGACAGACGTACCTTTTGCTCCTACCCACTGGTTTTTTGGTCTGTTCTGAGAGGGCTGGAAGTTTGCTCAGTGGTAGAGGGCTTGCCCAGCAAGCACAAGACCCTGAGTTCAGTCCACAGTACCAGGGAGAAAAGAAAACCAAGATGGTCATGAGACTGAACTTGGACATGGAACCTCCAGCATGTGTCAAGTCTTCAGCCAACAATGTGATTCCTGAGAGGCCCTGAGGAAGAACCACCCAGCCTGGCTCCTCGTGGGTGTCTTACACTGTGAGATATTCCATGTTTATTGTTTCAAGCTGTGCATTTGGGGACAATTTCTTCTGCACCAGCAGATGCAGACATGTAAGAAAACATGCAGGCTCACACTGAAATAACTAAGAGAAGTCTTTCATGCTCTAACTCCATCTTGTGTTTGCTCATATAGTTCTTGGCCCTCTCTGTTCCTCACCACAGTCATATCTGCCTTCACATGTATTTCAGATTTCCATGGACACGTCCATGGTGCAGATGAATCAACCAGAGTAAGTAAGGAAACCACAATACACAAAGAAACTACAAGTCAGCATTCATTGTCATTCTATGATTGAGATAAATATTCTGCTCTGCCAGGAAAGAATATTTCAAATTAATCTGTCCTACATCTAACTTGGATGTAAATTATGGTCTTTGTGGGTTTTGCCTTTAAACATGCTGTGGTCTTCCATTTGGGCACCTACAGACTTTTCTGAGGCATAAGCCCACTCTTGGTGTGATAATTAATAATAATACTTAAGACATTATTTGACTTAGTAGCATTGTTGTCAATAACTATATCATGTGGATCATTTCGAGATCACAGCATTGTCTCACAGTGGATTCTTCCCTAGGCAGGAGCCTTCCATCTTGCCCTTCTTTTTTCTCCCCACATGACCACAAAGGTCACCGCTGATGCTCTGTCCTTCATGCCTAAGACCCTGTTGCATCCTTACCAGCATCTTTGGAGGTGAGTCCTGGTGTTGACTGCCTACTGTGGAGGATCCCAGGGATAGACACATGTTAACACTGAGCCAAGCCTGGAGTGTGCTCCAGACCAGCTGAATGATGTCCATTCTCTTCATCAACAAAGCATTGGTACCTGATGACCCATACCCAGCCTGGCTATGAGGACTCACTAATGTAACAGATAGAAAAGGGTATAGCCTTCTGGTGGTGTGAAGGATGGCTTTGTTATCCAATTGTTTGAGTTCATCAGAATTCTAGGTACAGATACCTGAGCGGTAGATATTTCCCCTCATCCTGGGGTTTTCTCCTTACACTCACAGTACTGGTGACCCTAAACTTCACATATATAATCCAAGCCAGCATTCCACCACTAAGCTACCTCCCCAGCCCTCTTCTCTTTCTCCTTGAACACTTACTTTATGTGGTTCTGTGTGTTTGTGAATGTGTATGTGTGCATCCATGTGCACATCCATATGAAGGTCTGAGGTCACCTTCAACTGTTATTCCTCATCCACCTTAATTTTAGGATTGGGTCTCTTTATAGGCCTGGAACACACTGAATTGCCTAGGTTGGCTCCCCAGAGAGTCCCAGAGATCCACCTGTCTTCACTTCCCCAGAGATGGGATCACATGTTCATGTTACCACACTTTGCTTTTTTTACTTTTGTTTCAGGGCAAAAAAAAAAAATCTGACCCTTATGTGTATGCTTGGGGGGTGGGGTAGGAACACTCTACCCACCTGGCCATGTCTCCAGCCCTCTTCCTCTTGATAGTGTCTTTAGATGCACAAAGCTTGACTTGCCTCAAACCCAAAGCAGAGAAGCCAAGAGACCCCGGCCTGAACTCTCTGAAACTGTGATCAAACCCAACCTTTGCTTGCCTCACTGGGTTATCTCAGATGCACTGTCCCAGAGACATAAGGCTCACTGACACACCCCTCTATCTGCTGTCTGCTCTGTGGCCTCAGTAACAACAACAGAAAACAGATGGAGGCAGCCAGCTGGATGGCAGATCAGCATTCTCTCAGAAGGCCCTGGAGTCATGCTATGATCTGCAAATCAGGCAGTTTACAGTGGCTATACCTTGGGGACCCTCACATCAGAAATGGCTACCATTAAATACTTTGTTCTGGCCTTAGTTTGGAGCGCAGGTGTCTGAGATCACTACTGTAACCCTCTTCTCCCTCCACAGTCAGCTACCTAAATTACACACTGAGACTGTCCCTGAAGGATGTTTATTACCAGGGCAACATTTGGTGGTCAAATCCTGGAGGAACCCTCATAGAATGGGCAAAATGAAACCCTGACATCTATGTCCTAGACGCCATTAAGAGGTGGACTCAGACATTGCCAACAACTTCTGGACCCAGCTCATAGGCAGCCTGAGATTACTCAGCACCAGGCTCCTTAGATACATGGTTTGGAGCCAGGAAGGTTGCAGAGATGCAGGTGAGACCTGTCAGTGCTCATGGAGTGCATGAAGTGGCCACTGCAGGGCCTTGACTGACTGTTGGACACATAGGGTTTGTTTGGACATGGCTGTTTTCAATACCTGGGTCCTGTTCTTACTGTTTCGTGGTCTTCGTGGAGTGGTACCTTGGTGCACACTGCGGAAGAAAATCCTGTGTGTGACCCTCCAGGCTGTAATTTTCTGCAACCACCTGTCCACCAGTTCATTGTGTGTTCTTAGCAACCTCGAGATTCAAGTATGTCTCAAATTGAATGAACAACCTTCTCTCTGTGTGCAGGCCTCCAGCAGTGTTTCCAGGCTCACAGATTCTCCTTGGACACCCAAAACCCCAACCCAAATCCACCATGGCCTTTTCTGGTCCCCTATCTAAGCACCAAACCAGATAATCCTTGAGTTGAATCACCTACTCTCCTCTCCAGATGTGGCCTGATGTTCCCTGAAACTGCACTCAGTGTCAATCCCCATATTTGCCCAGAGCAGTTCTCTGCTTTATAGCCACACAAAATTATGAGTTTCCGAAGACAGGAACAGTGATTCACCCCTCCAGAGCTCCTTGTAGCTCTCAGTCATTTGAGAATCCTCACAGGTCCAGGCTCTTTAACATCTGGTGACTGTTTATTCTTTTCCTAACCCCCACCCATGATTCTTAGGAATACCTCGATTGCTGTGTGCCTTGCCCAAAGCATTCTTTCTGGACATCTGACCACCTTCTCACCCTCCTCTGATCTCAACACATAGGTCACATGATCCATAGACTGTTTTGGGAGCTCTCTAGAAAGCATCCAGAGCCTTGTTTTATGATCCACCTGCACACCACCATGGTGATGCCTGTGCACAGAACCCCAGCTTGGTGAAAACTGTTCTTCTGACATCAGGACACTTGAAGAACATCCTGCCAGTCATAATGTCTAGCTGTGGGGTCATGGGAAATGATTAAGCTTCTCTGTGCCTCACTTTCCTCATCTATAAGAAGGACTGAAAATAACATGTAGGTCAGAGGTCCATCACAGGAGTCACAGAGTGTGAGTGACAATCTCTACTACCCCCTGGTCACTAGAGGGCCCACCCCTGCCAACAGAAGCTGAGTGAACACTGCCTGAACACTTCCTGTGCAGTTATATATTTATTGATCCTTTGTTCAAAGCCATGCATTTTGCGTAAGGAAGGTGGACGTGTCCATCTGTTGTGTGATGTTGGATAGTGGGGACCCTAGAAAAGGACTCCACTGCCCTAGGTTTGTGTACTGGGGGGAAAGAAGCTGGACTGACCAATCTATTCCATGAGCTTCAGGAATAAGGGATCCAATACTGTGCCAGATGTGGGAAGGGTCAGGAGCCCATGTAAGGGCCAATGGGTGGCAGAGCCTAGAAGAGGAAAAGTATGAGGCAGGAACTGGGCACACTGTGGCCCCAGTTTCTGGAAATAGACTCAGGGCAGCAGGTTGCCTTATCAGTGCTGGGGCTGAGGTTCACATGTTTGAACTATAAGCTTGCATAGTTTTATCAAGCCTGCAGAAGCTGAAGGCAGACATAACCTGAGCCTAGATAGGGACCGAGTCTACTGCCAGGGCCCAGGCTTTTGGGTAGATGCAGATAAGGAGAGGGAGCAGGGAGGGGCCACAAAGACAGATTTCAGGCTCAGGAACATGAACTAGTGCTGCCAGGAGGACTGGGAGCCTGACACTGACTGTCCAAGTGTCCTGTGCATGTTTGAGTCATACAATAAGTCACATGACAATCAAGACATGCGACAGCCAATCAGAGCATGGAAATGAAAATGCACATTGAGACCCACATACAGGCTTAATCTCTGGCCCTCAGGAAGAAGCCTCACCTGAAGCTTCTTGGTAGTGCTAGTTTCCCCTGGGATTTGTGACTTTGGCCATAAAGAGTGGAATCTGAGTATTTGTGTCAAAGATAATCATCAGGAATGCCCTGTTGAAATTCACTCTCAGAGGGTTCAAAATTAGAGCCGATCCCATAGCCATGACTTTTGTGGCAGCAGCTGCTTCTGTGCCTGTCTCAGCCACGTCCAGCACGGCCTTGTGGACCACCTGTAGGAGAAAGACATCACTCACTGGAGACCAGGGAGGTTAGGAGAGGAAATTCCTAAAGGAAACATCTACTGCGGGCCTCAGCAGCTGGTGAAGTTATTTGTTCCTGCAGTGAGCTCTACCCCTTGTGTTTCCAAGTCTCTGCTCAGGTTGTGAGATGAGGCATGCCCTGGGTCTGCTCAGTCTCTGAGAATCTGTGTTGCTCTCAAACTCATGACAAACTGGAGGATTGGTGTAGGCAACACCAGTCCTTACTCCACAGGCTTCTTCTCAGAAGACCCACGGTGAACAGCCAGTGTGCTGGCAGCAAGAGCAAGTTTCAGCATCCCTCCTGTTCCAGTCTCCTTGGGACATACAACCTCAATGCACTGAGCATGGCTTCTCATTTGCAGACTCCATGCCCTGCTCAGACAGATCTGAGCCCAGGCCTCTGAGTGAGCACTGGACAGAATACTAGGCATTGTCAGGCTGTGCAACTGGGAATGTAGTGTGGGGTTCTACGGCATCTTCTCTCCTATTCTTAATGTTTTCATCCCAACTGCCATTCACCCCTTGTTATTTCCTTTACTGCTGCCATTCTGTGTGCTACTGAAGAAGTACTGGGTCAGCTCTGCAGTGAAAAGGCTGAGGCTGAAATGCTTTGCCCTGCAGTGGATTGTGGGTAGCATCCACATACAGCACAGGTTGGTGTCTATGGTTGTTGAAGACTAAGCACAGGCTCTTTTCCACCCCTGGCTCCAGGGTGAAGTTATGTTCAGGGGGTAGAGGAGGGATTGACTGCATGGTATGCAGCAGGAATATTTAGGCTGTAACCCAGCTCTGCTGGGATGGAGGAATCTCAGAAATGCAGGCTTTTTTATCCATTTACCATTCCCCTGCACAGCATGTGGCCTTCACCATCCTCATTCAGGCACCAATGAGAACCACCCAGTGTGTCTTGGCTTACCTGAGAGACTCTCAGGTCCTTGGCCCCTGTGATCCGAGACAGGTCAGCCTGTGTGGAGAAGACTTCCCTGATGCCCAGCTGTGGAAGGATTTTCTCCAGGCTGTAGTCAGTGGTGATGGAGAACTTGGGCATGTAGAGCTGGTTGATCTTCCTGAGAATGAAAAAGAGAAATGTAAGCCTCACTGGACTGTGTTCCTTTCAAATGACATTGTAGCTAGGGCACATCACACACAGCCCATTCACTAGAGAGAAGCCCTCTTTCCATCTGGGCCTACATCACATGATTTTGCTTTTCCTATTGCATTAAATATCCATTGATGCATAAGATGCTTTACAGGGGCAGGCAAAGAAGCTTGGTACCAATTTTCCCCTATCTAAAATGCTTTTCTCCCAGACCCAGAAAATGCAGTCCTTCCCTGTCATGTGGACCCTCAGACTTCATCTAATGATCCTTCTAGTTAAAATTGCTCACTCCATCCGACTCCAGCTTTCCTTATCCTTGATTCCTCCGAATTCTCAATCTCACTCATGCTCACACTTAACTAATCAAATAATGATCAGTTATATTTTCATGTCCCCACTCTCTCTTCCTCATTATAAGATGAGTCCTGAAGGGTAATAAATTTTGTTCTTGAGTTTCTGATACCCTCTCAGGGTCTAAATTTGAGTATAGCACATAGGTCTTCAAGTCATCATCCCATGAATGGAGAATGGATGAGTGATGAGGGGATGAGATGGATACACAGGGCAGAGCTGATTCTCAGAGCTGATCTCATCTCAGCCACACTTCACTCTGCCTTTCAAAACCCATTAAAGATTCCCTGTAATTACAGACTGTCAGACACAGAGGAATTCTCAGCCTCTGCTCTAGCTGATGTCATCAACTTGTGAACAACAACATGGCAGTAAAATGTGGCCCCAAACTACTGAGTAAGAAGATGGAAATTCACTTTCACTCCACTTGTCCCTGCTGACTCTCCAACCATTACACTGGGTACTAGTGAGGCTCTGAGGGACAGGGAAACTGGGCCTCAGGCCAACAACAGGATGTTCTGGTTCCTATGGATACCCACCTGGACCTCAGAGAGTCCTTCCACTTCTTCAGGGTCTCTGGTTGCAAGCTGGCTTCCACCTGCTGCATCTTGCCCTCATCAGGGAGGATAAACAGGGCACTGGCATTGCCTCTGTACTTCAGCTCCACCACAGAGCAGGACAGATCCTCATCCCGGAAGTAGGGTGTGGTCAGATCCTTAATTTTCATCATGGGCACCTTCACAGTCCTCTTTTGGTCCAAGTAGAAGTGAGACTCAAAAGTGAAACGAGCGTCAAAGGGCCTCTTCCATTTCCCTAAATGAGGAGCAGGTTATCAGACTGTGCCATCAGCAGAGAGACCCCACCTCCACCCCATTTCTGCTCTAAATTTTCACTCTTGACAGGAATCAATCCATCTTCATCTACACAGAGTATCTCTTGCTGGTTGCATAATCTAGATTAGGAATAACCCTGGCAGATGTAGAACTATGAATGTGAAGTGATCCACAGGCATGGTTTGAAGAGGGGAACTCAAAACTAAAGCTTCCCTACATGAGATACCTGAAAAACAGCCAGGGACCTGAGGGTGGGGTGTGTAACAGAGAGATGAGAGTGAAAGTGGGGAGCCTGGGGCCTGGGGAGTTGAGGATCCCTTCTTCCTCAGGAGGAGCCATATCTAGAAGGCAATGTCTTGTGGGACAGGTTTTAGGGGAAACAGGACAAGAGAGACTGTGTTCTCCCACACAGTGATCTGTCCATGGTGCCAATCAGTGTGAACCACCTTACTGGAAGTCAGTTCCCAGAGGCATGAGTGGGTTTAGATTGAAGCTGGTGAGATCTGCAACTCCCCAGAGTTAGATTACCAGGATCCCATAGTTGGTTGACTAAGATATGAATAATCAGTCTTATTCAACTACATGATCTCTGTTTACCTCGATAAATAAAAAATATCCTACTTAGACTTGCCCCACATCCCAAGTGCATGTGACCATCTGCAATACACCCTGGATGACTTGGTACTTTGACAATTTCTTGTGCTCAAGATCCAGCAGCATAAACACACATCCCCACATCAGGGTCAAGCAGCCTTGGAGTTTAGGTCCTGGCCCAGCATAGAAAGCCAAGCCCTGCAGTCTAATCCTTCAGGCCACCACTCTGCTTCCCTTCTCTCCAGAGAACAGCTGCTCTGTGGTCATCCTGAACACCTGTCCTCTATCCTCCCATCCTCTTCTGTCCATGGCCAATTGGTTTTCTGTTTATTTTCTGAAAGCGTACCCTCCTCTTCTCTGGCCTATCCAGAGTCCAGAGTCCCAAACCACGCCAGATCTAGGCACATCAATATTTTTTTTATCAGTAATCATTCTGTGTGCCTTTGCCTCACTCTTGGTCTATCAGGCAGTTATTGGTGGGTATGGGCTCTGGGTGTCTCCCTACGAACACTTACCCACTGCAATTCGAACTCATTTTTCAAACTCTCCTGATCCCTAATCCCAGACTCCTTATCCCAGGATTGTGTCTTCAGTACTGTGACCCCATAGGCTGCCTTGACTATTAATTTTAAAAACTAAAGTTCCATTAATCAGCCAGACACTGAACACAGAACACTGCCTGGCTGACACCTCCCTCTCACTACTGGCTTTTCCTCAGTCCCTGCTTTTCCATGTTCAAATGGAGCATTACAGAAAAGGCTCAGGGAGAGGTCCTGCATAGGAATGTGATAAAGGCTTTTCAGTAGTCATGGGGCATTCTACTCCCCCCCTTTAAGATGGGGTAGCCATGCTCCTTAGGTCAAGAAGTCGCAGACCACCTGAGTCCTCCTAGAGACATAGGTTCTCTAGCAGATGGATTATGTAGGAGCATTTCAGAAATGCTGGAGTAGGCTGAATGAGGGATTTCTTTTCAGGTAGTTTGAATGCAATTGTCCCCCATAAGCTCATACCGAGTGGCATTATTAGGAGATGTGGCTTTGTTACAGTATGTGTGGTCTTGTTGCAGGAAGTATGTCATTGTGGAGGCAGGCTATGAGGTCTCATAAATGCTCAAGATAACTTCCAGAGCCCTAGAACACTTCCTCTTGTCTGAAAGATGTAGGACTCTCAGATACCATTCTAGTATCATGTCTGCCTACACATTTACATGTCCCACTGTGATGATAATGGACTGAACCTCTGAATTTTGGGTAAGCCACCCCCATTAAACATTTTCCTATAAGAGTTGCTATGGTCATGGTGTCCCTTCACAGCAATGGAACACTGACTAAGACACCATCTCTGCAGCATGAAGCTATGGCTTCATCACATTCAGGTAGGACTGTGAACATAATCTATGCAATCTGCTAGTCAATAAGTTTAGGTCACATCCAAACACAACACTCTTAGGCTGAGAACTCAGGGATTCTGTGGAGTATGTACCAGGAATCACAAGTATATCTAAAAAAATCCCAAAAGACAAGTAAGTCCTGCTAGTAATAATAATTTAGGTACCCATGTCTCCAAGGCCATGAGCACCTCCTTTCTAGTAGTCAGCTTATGGACACAAGGTGCCCAGTTAATACCCTCTCTAGTCACCCCTGAAAGAGAGACCATCCTCACCTTTAAAGTAGATGTAATTCACCAACATCATTAATGTTTTCCCATCCAGGTCTGAGACCAGTTCCTTGATCTTCCCCTGGGTCTGTTTCTTCACATAGTCATTGATGAGTTTTTTGGCTTCATGAGGCTGTTGGAAGTCAGTCCCAGAGATCTCAGCCTGGTACAGTGCCCTTGCCTTCTCTTTGAACTCTGCCAGGATCTGCAGGTGCTTTTCAACAAACATCATGTTGCCTATGCTGATCTGCACCTGGTCCCCTGGCTGGCTGAGCATGTGGAGGAGGTGCCCAAAGCCCCTGTGGATGTCTGCCTCAGGCGTCTCTGTCAGATTGAACTTGAGACCTTCTAGAATCTCTTCCAGGGTATTGTTGCTGGCTCCCAGGGACAAGATGGCCAAGGCAGCTGAAATGCTGAGCGGGGAGAAGATAACATTTTTATTTGGATTCTTCAAAGCCAACTCCTTGTAGAGGGTGAAGGCAAAGTCAGTGTTGATGGAGGCCAGTGCCAGACTGTCCACTCGTGTCCCATTGTTTTGGTCTTCTTGAACTTCAGTGTTTCTTCCCAATGTGCCATCTGGTTCACAGATAACAGCAGGGCAGAACCCAGCCATCAACAGCCCCAGAGCTACAAAGAGAACCATCTTCGCTGCTCTCCTGTCTGAAAAGAAAGATCTTTTGAGTCTGGGAGGGTCAGGTGATAACCTGAGTATCTCCTTGTTCTTCAACCTTGCCTCTATTGAGTCTTTGTTCTGCTGCCTCTTTCTGCCTCTGTTGTGATGCACAGGAAGTGCTCTGGCCCCTCAGATCACACTACCAGACCTCATGCACCCTGTTTTCCCTGGAGGAAGTGATGCTGTAGTAGCCAGTTTTCCTAATAGAGAATCAGGATCCATAGAGGTGAAGAGATATTTCAGGGTCACAAAGTAAGAAAGAGACAGACCTGGGGATGGGTAAAAGCCTTCTAAAAATCTTAATTTCTTCTTTCCTTTCTATCTTGGTATGAGGACTCTTTAAAAATCAGGGAATACTCTTAATTTGCACTTGTGCCCCATCTGCCATCACCAAATTCTAGTCCAGACTCAGTGAAGGAACCTTGAATTAGATCAGCATCAAATGGGCCATTCCAACTCCAGATGACAAGTTCATGACATCTCACAGCCCTGGGGTGCATCTGGTTCCTGTTTCTGGACATGAGATGGGCTAATTGAAAGAGGAAGATTCTTTCAGCTCTGCCAGGATACACAGGGTTTTTTATCACAGGCTTGGAAGGCTTCCTGACAGGAAGAAAACTGAATGGTGTCCCAGTCTCTCATGCCCAGATCAGATTTCATTTTGGTTGTCAGGATGGCTGTGCAGTGGCAGAAAGCAAATGGGTGGCCCTCTCAGGGCAGCCCGGTGAGTGGCCTAGGTTGTGTTATTAGTGAATGTGTCTGGCTTATTATGGGAATGTGTGGGTGTTTATAGGCAATGTTCAGAGAACCATCTCCTCCATACACTCCTGGAGTGGGGATCACAAGCATGCTAGAGACCACATTTGAAAGCTTGTGGTCATGGTAAACATGGAAGCCAAACTTTAGCCTCTGTCCACTGAATAGGTGAGTTTCAAAGTGAATGTAGATGCTAGAGGGAAGGGGTGATGGGGAAGATAGATAGAGAGAAGAGAAGACCAGGTGGGGAAGGATGAGGAGTGAGAAAGTGGAGGGAAATGAGGGCAGGAGGATAGGAGCAGGGAGGCGATCAGATGAGGGAGTCAAGGGGAAGGCAGAGGGGAGAGAAGACTAGAAAAGTGTAGGAGGAGAATGGAGGGAGCAGTGGAGGGAGGTGTTAAAGCTGATCCACATGTGCCCAGGCCTGTGACATGCCTGCAGAGTGCCATGGATTTCAGCTGCCTTTACCCTGTGTTTACTGTCAGAACGGTGCATCTATTTCTTTGTAAAGCATTCAGCTATATTCTACTGCAAAATTATTTCCACAGAAAACTGGCTAGTCACTTTGTACAGGGGAAATTTGCCTGAGTGGCTGTCTTCTTTTTCTGACTATGAGAGGATGGTGCCCCTCATAGTGGCCATGGCATCTGTTGGGGAACTGGGGTCCCAGATCCCAAGCCTGCTGCCCCAGAGGGACTCTGCAACTGTCCTCTCTCCCCTTAGCTATGACAACAGCACCCAGACTAGACAAGGTCTCAATGCTTCCTCCTTGTGCAGGGTCAGAAGGAGCAGGCTCCATTTACTCTCCAGGAGCATAGCTCAAGGCACCCACATCTGCCACAGATATGAAGACCCTGACTGGAGAGAAGATTCATATGGACCCCAGAAATGTACTCTAACTCCATACCACAGGAACATTCTCACCACCTCCAAACCAGGTAATTGCCAATACCACAGTCCTGGAAAGGCTTCTTCCACTGTCCCCAGAGAGAAGGAATCCTGGGCATTACCTGGAGAGCTGAAGCCAACTCCCACCATCAGTGTTAGGTGAGTCCTGATATTTGGGGTTGCTGTTCTCCTGGGGTGCTGCTCTCCCACTGCACACTGATGCCTATTTATCCACATCGGCACAACCTCCCACCTCTTAGGAAATGCTGGCACATACAAGGTGTGCTCTGAGATAAGATTGGAAGTGGGCAGACAAGATGATTTCTGGTAACATGAATTTAGAACATCTATTTAGCAGAAACACCTCTCACTGTGGTCCAATCAATAAGGTGACTGCCACTAGATTTCAAGGTTGCAGCTTCTGTTTCTCCAATGGTTCAAAGATCAGTGTGGAACTGGAGAGTAGTTGGAGGCAAATAGACAAACTCCACCTGTGTCTGTGTAACCATCTTATCAAGCAGCATTTGGATATTTAAATAGAGACTCCATCTCCCCTCTTTGGCTCTCAGACTTCTGGAGGGAAGCTGCCTTGTCTGGCAGTGAAGGGAAACTCCTAAAGGAATCTGTGTCTGCAGAGCCTGGCTGGCTGATCTGAATTTCAGTACTGTAGAGAGATGGGAACACCACGGGCCAGAGGCTAACTAACTCTTCAAGGACTAAGTGCTGCCTCTCTGGAACAGCCTGTTTCCTCCCTCTGTGTCAGAACTAAATCTTGTGACAATAGAGTCTATTCACTTAGCAGACAACTAGCTTCAATCCAAAAGCTAAGAATGCCAGCAGATAACATCTTGAGCTGTGGAGAAGCTCCCCCATATTGATGCACCTGCCTCTCTGAGGTTCTCTTAAACCTGCCTTGGTTTGTGACTTTCTTTCTTTGTTAAGCTATCAAGTTTTCGTGAGCCTGCCTCCACAGTGGAACATGGAATTTGTTTAATGTGAGTCTGTGTTTTCAGATCATTGCCACTCAAAATGGCTCCAGAATAAATTATCTCTTAGGCCCTTTAGGAAGAGCTATGGTGTTTGTGTCAACAGTGTGGTTAGAGACTCAGCAGGCAGGGGTGAGGTCTAAAGCTGCTGTCCTTGAAATGGAGGTGCTGATCTTAACAAGAAGGATTTTGGCTGAATAAACAGAAGCCTAAAAGCAGGTCTCTGTGTTTCAGAGAAGCAGATAATTCATGGTGCATTTCTGTTGGCCAGGATCCACCCTAACCTTCCCACACACATCTGTTACCTCAGCAAGAGCAGCCAATTGTCCTTCAATCCAGACAGCCTGAATCAGTTCAAAGATGACTACCCTGCTATCCTATAAAATCTGTTTTTTTTCTACCATTTTGCTTATTTACTCTGCCATCCCAGAGAGAGAGAGAGAGAGAGAGAGAGACAGAGACAGAGACAGAGACAGAGAGAGAGAGACAGAGAGAGAGAGAGAGAGAGACCTTGATAGTTTAATCTTCAATAAATCTCTGTTTTCCCCACACTGGCTTACATTTAGTTTTGTAACCATGGAGAGAGCCCTTGGCACCTTTTGAAAGGGCCCGATCCACTCTAACTGAATAGAAGTGCTTGGTTTTTACACTCCTGTGTGCCAATCACTTGCTTCTGCTGGATCCTGCCACTCCCCCTAACCCAGCCTAGTATTCAAGTCTAAATTTTAGAGTCTGCCTTTCCAGCTGTTTCTCTCTCTACTGCATTGGATAGATATATGTCAACTTGAGATCATCTATAGTCATCTTAGAGGGGGGAAACTCACTTGAGAAAATGCATACATAATTAGAGACTGTGGATCAACCTTAGAGAAGTTTCTTAACTAGTTGTGGATGAGGAGGACCAGTCCATGGTGGATGGTGTGACCCCAGGCCTGGTGGTCCTGGGTTCTGTATGAAAGCAGGCTAAGCAAACCATGCTAAGGACTCTGTAGTAGGACATGCCAATAGGGTCAAGGAAATTGGCTAAGGCCAATTGCCAAGGCATGCACATAATGAAATTCATATGAGCCAATCTGGAGTCTGCCTGAGGGCCTAGTAAAAGGCACTGTCAGAATTCCTGAACATGCCCAGCCAATGAGGGACAACCATGCAATGGAAGCAGATTGCAACCCAGACTGGGTGTGAGAGGAGGGTATAAAAGTCCTTCCCTGTTATTAAAGAAAGGAGTTTGTTGTTTGTCTTCCAACTGAGTCCTGGTGTCTGTGCTGTTAATGCTGTACCTTCTCACTCCTTCTCCCAAGGCAACCAGTAGGATCCAGCAACAGAAAGCCAGAAAGAAGCACCCCTCCTGACCTTAACATCATCTCCTGACTTCGGGAGGTTGCCATGTTTGGGTTCCTGTCCTGAATTCTTGGAATGATGAACAGTGTTGTAGAATGTGAGACACAGAAATCCTTTCCTCCCCAACTTGCTTTTTAATCTTGGTGTTTCCTACATCACAGAATTAGAAACCCTATCTAAGACATCCACCTATTGTGCCTACTCCTCTGTCCACCCCTATAGGAGATCATTTCTATCTGTGGAAAGGTTCCTGTGGGGAAGAATGAGGAATGAGGAAGTTTAAGTTGAAATATAGGGCTGGATGAAGAGAAAGACTGAGACACAGGAAAGCTTCAAGAGGGCCATGGGTCAATATCCAGTTGCCTTGAGTTTAATCATGATGGGACTTTTATACCTCAGCAAGGGGAGGATCAAAAGACATCCCCCATTAAGATCAAAGCACAATATACAACCAGGTATAGACCCTTCAAAACACCTTGTAACTACACCATTGGCCAAATCATCCTATTACTTAGCCCTGCTAGGTAAAGCAAGCTCAGATTCTCTGACCTTGAGCAAGACTTTACCAGGGAGCCTTTCTGGGTCCTTCCACACCCTTGCTTGCTTAAGTGACATTTTGGAACTTCCTCCTCTGTGTCTGTCTGTCTCATTGCATCACTGGAGCCTGCTCTCCCTCTGTCTTTCTGAACTCCGGAAGTGTATGGGACAAAAGTCCCGCTGTTCATCAGGCAGCTCCCCTATTTACTCCTGGGCACCCCATCCTCTGTAAAGGGACATCTGTTCACTGGGAGGCTGAGCATCTTTCTGAGGAGTCTAGTTCTCTATGGCGACACCCTCAGACAGAGACTCTGTCCCTGCATCACTCACTGCATCCCTCCCTGTGCCTTTGCTCCTGTGCTATCGGTATCCCTCTCCTGGTGGGATTCCTCCGCCCTCTTCTCTAAGTCTCTCCCACTTCCTCCTCACTCTGAAGTTCTCAACTGCTGCCTTTTCAAGGTTGTCTTTCTTCCTGCTTGCTCTGTCTCTCTCACTTGATCAATCATGGGATTTTTTCCATTCCAAGCGTGACTCCTCAACTCCACTTGCTTCTATCTTTAAGTCTCTTTCCCACCTCACACTTACAGATCTCAGTAAGTGTCACTACCTATTTTTTTCTGCAATATGGCCTGGCTGTAATACAAATTTGACAGTCAGTCTCTGTGGGAAGTAAATGACACATTCAACTACCTGATTCTCACTGATTTGGACAAATTCTGCCAATGCACAGGCAAGTGGTCTGACACCCTCTATGTTCAGACCTTCTTTCGTCTCATTTCTCTCTCCTCCCTTTGTGCCTCTTGCTATGCTCATCAGATTCTCCTGGCAAAGACCAACCTTCTCCTAAAGCTCATCAGAACCTGGACCCCTCTATAGATGTAACCAACCATCTTATTAAATAAGAAACACAGAAACAATGCAAAAGAGAAAGCCGAGAGGTCAGAGCTCAGAGCTAAAATCTCACCCTTCCGCCTGCGGTGTCCCAGCTTCCCGAATCAGGGTTCTATTTCCTGTCTGTTCGTCTATTTAAAGTATTTTGTTCTGCCTTCTCATTGGTTGTAAACCCAAACACATGACTGCCTCGTTACTGTCTGAATGTACAGCCCCCTAGGTCTTAAAGGCATATGTCTCCATTGCTGGCTATATCCCTGAACACACAGATATCTATGGGATTAAAGGCGTGTGCCACCACCGCCACACTCTTGCTATGGCTCTAATAGCTCTGACCCCCGGGCAACTTTATTTATTAACATACAATCAAAATCACATTTCAGTACAATTAGATTACCACCACACCCCTCAGTCTCTCTCCTTTCAGCTTTGAAATATAGGACATGGCCCCTCTGTGGGTTCTGATATAGTTTTTAAACTTCCCTCAGAAACATCTCATGCCAGGCCCCCATCCTCCACATTTCTCTTAAGGTTTGTTTCTACCAAGATACCAGAGAACATCCCACTGAGCTCCCAACACTCAGTGTTTTTTCTACCATAAAGTTTTGAAGTCCTTCACAAGCCTCCTCAAACAATAGTAGGGCTGTCAGAACAGTACCACACTAGACAGTTACCAAGTTGTCTTATTAGGGTTTTTTATTGCTGGGACAAAACATTATGACCAAAGAGCAACTTGGGGAGGAAAGTGCTTATCTGGCTTACACTTCCATATTGCTGTTCATCATGAAAGGAAGTTAGGACAGGAACTCAAAAGGGAAAGGCCTTGGAGACAGGAGCTGATGCAGATGCCAGGGAGAGGAGGGGTGTTGTTGCTGGCTTGCTTCCCCTTTCTTGTTCAGTCAGCTTTCTTATAGAACCACCATCTCAGGGATGGCACCACTCACATGGGCTGGGCACTACCCAATCAATAACTAATTAAGACATTGCCTATGTCCTCTTTACAGCCAGCGCCGAGTGATGGGCATCCTCGAGACAACTGGCACAAGCGCCGCAAGACTGGGGGTAACAGAACACGCTACCACAAGAAGCAGAAGTATGAGCTGGGACGGCCTGCTGCCAACACGAAGATTGGCCCTCGTTGTATACACGCAGTCTGAGTCCGAGGAGGCAGCAAGAAGTACCATGCCCTAAGATTGGATGTAGGAAACTTTTCCTGGGGCTCTGAGTGTTGTGCTAGGAAAACAAGGATCATTGATGTTGTCTACAATGCATCCAATAGTGAACTGGTCCGCACCAAGACCCCGGTGAAGAACTGCATTGTGCTTATCAACTGTACACCATTCCGACAGTGGTATGAGTCTCACTATGTGCTGCCCCTGGGCCGCAAGAAGGGGGTCAAGCTGACTCCTGAAGAGGAAGAAATATTAAACAAAAAAACAATCAACGAAAATCCAAAAGAAATATGATGAAAGGAAAAAGAATCAGCAGTCTTCTGGAGGAGCAGTTCCAGCAG